GCACTTTATCAACATCAGTACGTCGTTGTTTCAGTTCTGCAGTAAGATCTAGACTTTACACAGAAATTTTTTTGTCTTGTACTAGAAGCAAAGCAGAAGGGGGTATCTTGTAATGGCGGAAAGAGAAGATTTGACTATAAAGGATAATATAGAAATCTACTCCTTGAAATGTCCTCGACTCCGAACCTACAAGAGCTCTAAACAATGTCACGTGGCGAGTGGGAGCCAACACCCAACCATAAGCTGACTCAGTAACAAGAAGAAAAAAAAAGAGAAAAAGTTAGTTCAGGCGTTCAGCTCAAAATATCTCACCCTGAGAAGAAATCCTCTGTGTAAAGTCTAAATCAGCCAAGCAACAAATAAACTAAACTAGGCACACTAACTACAAGTCTTAACCTGAACAGAAAACAACTGAACTATGATTACTACATTGAACATCTGTTTATTTTACTCAACATAACATCAGCGTGGTCCACGAAGAACATTAACAACAACTAACGTGCTCGACCAGAGTCTCCAGTCTCATCTCCAGCTAAAAAGGAAATATGATAATAACACCATACGCTCAGCGAGATTACCTCAACCATTGGCAAAAACCGAAACATATTTAACATGTGCGTTAAACTTCAATATGCCAACAAATCATTAATAGAGACCTGCCATCAAACTATCTCCTAGCAAAGACGCACACATTACCTAGCCAATTGAACGTACCGTGATCACGAGCCAATCTACCGTCGCTCAGCCGGTCCGATCTGACACACCTGTACGTTGAGACCTAGTGCAGTCAACAACGACAAACAGGGCGCTTGACCTTAGCAAGCCGGAGCGACCGCCAAATAGAATGAGGCCGATAATCGTCTTGGTCTTGGTCTTGGTGTTGGTAAAAAAAAAAAAAAAACCTCGCGCCTCTTTCAACCGGCTCCTAGATTGAGCAGTGGTTATATCGAAGGCTGTGTTTTTGTGCTTGGAATTCGTTTTCCAATTGTCGTCAAGTTTCTGTTGCGGCATTTATATTACGCCTGAGGAGTCTGTTGCTTTCAGAGTATAGGAAGGGATCTCGGTATGCTCTAAAAAGGGCAGACCATAGCTTGGGACGGCCTGGATCGGGTAGGGTGGGGAGTCAATTTGGCGGTCGACATCATGCCTGGCTGGTTGCGAGTTGTCAGGTTTCTCCGGGCTGGTGGGCGGGCCTGTTCGTCTGTCATGGCGGCTTGTGCGGTTTATTGGTAGCTGGTTTCTACTGTGTCTTCTTTAGTTTTGGGGGTTCTTTCGCGATGCCTCGCTTGCCTTGGGGTGTTTGCTGCCAGTGGGTCTGCTCGTTTGTTGTGGTCTTTTTAAATCTTCAGTATGTGTTTCCCGTTTCTTCGCAAATCTCCTCTATTTTGTAAGGTTCTACTCGGGCCCATGCCTCTGCCAGTTGTGCTTGTATGATTTTGTCTGCTTCCATCTTTTTGTCAAGTTGACGTCTTTCCTCTTTGGTGGCTTCGAAGAGGGTCATCAGCGCCTTGAGGCTGTGCTCCCCGCTATGGGCTTCTGTGTCCTGGTCTATGCCTTTGAAGGGTTCAGTCAGCTGTGCCTGATCTTTTACTGTTTTTGCTTCAGTGGCTGTGCCTTTATCAGCCTTCTGCGTTAACTTGTCTGTGTGGGTGCTTTTGTCAGCCCTTGCTGACATTTAGTTTCTTTGTTGCTATGCTGACTGCATCCCTTTCTTTCTGTAATAGGTCGCGCTCTATTCTGGTAGCCATCTCAGCCGCGACTGCTTCTGAGGCCGATAATCAGTCAGTCGGCCGTTTAAATATCCAGTGTCCAGACTTTTCCAGATTTTACTTTCTGAAGGTAATAGCTGTTTCTGTCTTCTCTTTGTCATTTTTAAACCAGATTAAATAAAATCGTTGAGCTGCTGAACATTAAGTTTCCAGCCTGTTACTTTCCTCTCACCTTCCTCCAAGTTTTGTTTTTGTTTTTTTGTTGTTGCTGCTAAGCCCCATATGAATTTTGGTGTGGCCGCATTCTCACTAGATGATCGAACAATTTCATTCTTTGTCTGTCAATATAATTTAGGCATGGTCTTATTCCAACTTTTTGTCTAATACTGGCATTCGTAACCTTGTCTCTTCTTTTATTGTTAGTTACCTTATGAGACAGCGCATTTCACAGGCAGTTCTTTTCTATTCTCTTGCCTTTTTCATGCTAATAGAAAATTACAGTTAATTTGCATATTAAAATGTCACAACAACTACTAGCTTTCCTATCACTATTACTATTACAATAATTGTTTCCATTACTCTACCCCCAGGTGGTAAGGCCGCATTGTCCTAGTCCAGGCCGTCCATTTCGACGCTTGGTCGACGACTGCTCTCAGCCTGTTCTTAACTCGAGCTCGTTTCTATTACCTCCCTAGTTCCCCTTAGCTTCTGTGGGCTGTGTGTACCTGATAATCACATATTTGACGGCATGTGTGTGCATGTGTGTGTGTGTGTGTGTGTGTGTGTGTGTGTGTGTGTGTGTGCGCGCGCGTGAGTGCGTGTGTTTGTTTGTTATGAAATTTTCTCTAAATACGACTCAATTGTTTAATTCAAAAGGCAAGGCGTGGTTTTGAGAAACTGTTCAAGGAACTTCAAGATCGATGCGTCCGGGCAGCCAAAATGAATTACCATATAGCTGCACGCCATGCCAAAACGGAACATAGATTCGGAATTGTGCTAGCCATATTTGGTTAGTATGATTTAGTGAACACTTTTAAGAATATCCAGTATTTGTGAATTGATGTGTACTTAAAAATTGTGATTGAATTGATATGTACTTATAAAGTGTGATTTAGTTAACTTGATTTAGATGTTGGTTTTGTCGGAGTCAGTGGTTCGTTCGTTGCTAAGGTGCTTCGTGATCCCGAAGTACTCAATCTGGTGACAACCGCAGACAATTTAGAAGCATGGCGCTTTGCGTTCATTTCAACAATGAAAAGAAGTCTGTCCAGAAAGCAATGTAAGCTATTGAACGTAAAATTGTCGAGTAAAATCATAGAAAACAGCCGAATGTGTTCGGCAAATAACGGTTCTTTCTGTTTTAACTTTGAAGTAAATTTAGGACGCTATTTAAGAACACATTTAACTTTAAACTATAAGGATTTTGATACTCTTTGTGACTTCATATAAAATTGTGAAGTGAATTTGGATATAATTCTTGACTTTATATATAACTCAAATACATTTGGTTTAAGTTGGCTATAAAATTATATTGTTAAATATTAAAATATGTGTCAGCTTTGTAGCTCTCTACCAAAGATGTTGTCTGCCATTTACATTATGTATGTTGACAATTAAAACGTC